ATATGAGCAGTATTGTTCTCATATATGAGTAGTGAGTTGTTCTTTCATGAGTTCATAAATCCTTTCTAATGGAATAGCAGGATCCGTATGCATTGATCAGTCTCTTTCTCCACTTTTATAATCTGTTTTCAAAGTTTAAATTATGTGTTCATTTCCAATCAGCAATGGATGTTCAACAATGCCTAATTCTATCGGTGAGTCGTTCTTCTTCTAGTCGGGTTCAATGACCGATCAAAATTCTTGATTTTTTGTACATCCTATTATCAAAACGCAATTGTCTTCGACCAAACTAGTAAGGATTAATAATTTGCTTAGGTTTTAACCCTAAAATAGGTCTGCAAGTTCACAATAAACGCAATATTATTTAGGGATCGGTCTAGTGAAGATCAGATAGTTACGCTACGAATTTATAAGATTTAAATCAAGCTAAAAAGAAAATATGTTTTGAGTTTTTTGTAAAATGAAATAGCAAATAATTAAAAGCAATAAGTACGATCAAAGAAAAAAATAATATAGAAACATTAGGCAATAGGTTAATCGCAGAGATTCATGAATCATAAACTATCGATCGAATTTTAGCAATTTTAAAGCAACCGTTCTACAACTCAAATCACTAATGTATAATTTTTCCACTGTCGTGGCTCCGATCACTATGTTTTGACAACCTAATAGATTCAACTATCGCATGTTATTATAAAGAAAACATGCATTAGTTCGCTCAAGATTTAATTGTTCATTAAACTCCTTAACTCACATTTCAAATGGATAAGCCGCTTAGCTCATCAAATACTAGTTCAGGCAATATAACAAAGTTTTGGAGAGTATATTAACCCAAGGTCTAATGCTAGTTGATTAGAAAAGCATGCAAAATTACAAAACAAAAAATATTAAGAACTTGTAGATTATCCCTATTGCATAAAATAAACGCTTAATTAATCATGAACTCATTGAATACCTATAACTTAACAACAAAACTACTCAGAGATCACAATGAACAACAAACAAATAGATAGATAAGTAATCATATTCATAGAAACAATCAAAACAAGAAGGGTTTAGAATTCTTCTATATCAAAGATACAAAGGTTGGATCTTCTCCCTTGAAACACTTGAATCCAAAAACTCTATGAAATCCCTATGACAAACATGGCTGTTGTTTTGTCTAGTGTCATATGGTGGCTTACTCCTAATTAGAGACTTAAAACAAGTATATATAGGTTTAGAGTATTCTAGGGTTAAATTTAGGGTAAAAAAATCAATTTGGTCGAAACTGCTACAAACACCGGTCACGACACCGGTCAAGAAATCTGACCGGTGCTGGAATCTTCTTGACATCTTCACGCGTGCTGACATCGCGCTGGAACATTGGGCCACAGATTGGTCCGGTTTTGGACTCGATTCTACACTTGCTTTAGTTCTGAGCAGTTTGACATGTTTTCAGTACATCAAGTGTATCTTCTTGACTAAAGTTCCAAATGATCTAGTTTCAAATCTATTGAAAATCTAAATAAAATCTATTTTTCTTCACCAATTTTATTCCAAATCCAAGTTGATTTGTGTCTCTGTATGTAGCTACACTTCCGATGCTTTAGTTCTGTCTAACTTGGTAAAATGTGATACCTTACGAACTTTTTTGGCTTGGGCAATGTCTTTGACTTGTGTGAAATGTTGTAGCTTGTTTTACACTCGTCTTTTAGTCCTTATTGCTTCATTTTTAATAAACTGTCTGTGTGATCGGAGCTGTCCAACGGGTCTTTGCCTTGGTTCCGTTTAGCCACTATGGAGGTCATTATAATCGGTCTCCCGATTATAATAAATTATATATCTTGGCCGCTTCATCACAGTTCAATTGGAAGAATAAAGATTTCATCGCTAATTCCAAGTGAAATATCTTGCATTTGTTGGTAGAGTCTTTTGTCATGATTAAGAGACACAGAGGAGAGAAAATTTCTTTTTTCTGATTTGCGTAGATTTGTGAAATCCTAACGCAAGAGATAAAAAAAGTAGAATAAAAAACATAGCATGGGAAGTTGTCGATTCATCCTTGACGGTTTCTCCAATAACCCCTTTTGAGGAACCGCCGGTAACCGGCGGTAAACACTCTCTAAGGAGATATGACAGTTAAAAATAAAAAGGCGTAATCACCTAAAAAATGGAGAGAAAAAACGATATTTTTCCGTAATTACTTGTTTAAATAATAATTTTTAGTTACTTAAATTACTTGATGATAATTTTTCATATTGTAAATATACTTACCATACATTTACTTATTATTAGTTTATTACCTAACATATACTTACCATACCTTTACATATAATTTTTTAAATTGAAGTTACAAAGTCAATATACAAAATTTTCGAAAAACAAATTATTTCATAAGCTAATATATGTGTCATGTAGTGAGAAACTTACATAAAAATTGAATTTGACTATGCTTTCTATAAACAAATGTTACTCGCTAACATGTCATTAGAGTCGTTAATGTTTTTTCTCTATATTCGATATTGTTCTAATGCGAATTGTGTGTGGTTAAAGCATTCCCATTGAAAATATCTTGAAGGGTTTCTCACCAACAAAAAAAAGTGGAAGAGATAATGAAGAGGGGTTCTAAATCAAATTATAAGAAACTATTCTCACTTTTTAGAGAAACACATTTGACACTTGTGCATATTTGATTGGTTTAGTGACTTTTTAATAATTTAATAACAAAAATTATTACAATAGTATATTTGAGAAGTATATATTTGAGAGTCTCTGCAATAAAGATGCTCTAAAAGATCTTTTGGTTAAACTTCTAACTTGCACTCAACATGATAAAATACGATATTTTCGGCAATAGTTCTAAAATATTTACATTTATGATACAAAAACTTTTCTATAATAGTCACTGTTAAAAAATCTTGACTTTGGTTTTTCCCGAATCTGTTCGTGAATAGTTTCATTCCTTGCGATTAACTATGATTGTTATTCTAAAATCTGATAATAACAAAATCAAAAACTCAAATTACGTATTTAAACCATACGGTAGGAGACCACAAAAACTGTTGAAAAACACCATTTCAAGTCGTTGACCAATTAGGCATACTTGATATATAGGAGAAGAGAAAAGGCAATCAGAAACATTACGCAGCAACACCATTGAAAATAAATTAGAATAACACTTCACCAGAAAAAAAGACAATAACATGGTTTTGGAACCCATCCAATCCTCTGTCTCTGCGAAAAGAAGTAATTTATTTTGAAAATAAAGAAACAAAATCTACATCAAAGGCTGAGAAATATAGAAGTCTCCCGCAAATAAACGATGAACACGCAATTTTGAATGTCATGAAATATAGAAGCCTTGCAGATTGATCCGTAGTACAGATAACCCGGAATCAAAAATTTGGCATACATTATTAGTTTTTCATTTTGTTAGAAGTCAAACAAACAATAGAAATAGTAA